GGGAGGAGATGGGGTGGGGGGGCGGGCGCAGTCGACCCAAGGGTGGAGAAGAGGGAAGGCGAAGGAAGCGCGTTCCCGGGCTCGTGACCGCCAGCAGCCCAGGGAACCCGCGCTCACACACCCTCCGAGAGATGGCAGGCGACGGGGACCGGAGCGTCGTGGGCACCCTCCACCTGCTGCTGCTGGTGGCTGCCCTGCCCCTGGAGACCTGGGGCGTCAGTCGGGGCGCCGCAGCCTGGACCCAGGAGAAGGTGAGGGGCTGCAGCTGCGTGATTGTACCTGGGCGACTCTTGCCGGGTGCGGGTACCCGGGGCTGGGAGAGCCCCCATCTAGGCAGGGCGGGGGGCGGGGCAGAGCCGGGAACCCCGGCCCAGGCACCGGTGCTCGCCTTGGGCGCCGGGAGGAGTCGGGTCTCTGCGTCCTCACCAGCGTGCCTCGCTGGCCTCCCGGACGCCACGGAGCTGGGTGATGTCACCGGCCTCCCCTCGGCTGCGGTCTGATGTGGGTACTGATAGGCACAGGAAGTGTGTCTCGCCGGCTGCAGCCGGCAGGGAGGTGAGGGCGCATTGCCGCGTCGCCGCCCACTCCGGTCCCGCGACGCCCGCTGTCCCCACGCTCCCGGCAGCCGGGGTGCGGGGCGCGCCTGGGGGTGTGTGCCCACTGCTGCATCCCAGGACGCCCTTGGGACATTGAAATTTCCATGCAGTCTCTGGGTGTACGCGTGTTGTTTGCCCATTTTAGATTTTTAAGCGGAGCAGCTCTGAACCACGGAGTGTCAGTGGAGACCTGCTTTATTTTAAAATATCTTTTTTTGTCTTAGAAGCGAGTAAAATGCAATTGTCAGAGCAATGTATCTGGCTGTGGGTGGAAATTTCATATAAGGAACTTAGGATAAAAGTGATTTGCAAGTTTCCTCTGTGCGGAGTGAGTAGGTTCACAATTATTTCCCTTTCTTGTGTAACAGTTTTGAAATCATGAAATTGCTAGGGACTTGTGCAAATGGTAATGGTATTGGAGTAAAATGGTATGCTTATAAAGATACCAAGAAAAGCAGCAACGTAAAGGACTATAAACTTCGACAGTGTTGTTGAACAGATCTTTTAAATGCTTGCAGTATGTTTATATTTACTCACACCTTTGAAATACTGGGCACAGGCTCTGTGCTGGTTCACCAGCCCCTTCACCCAGCTACAGGTGTACACATATGTAGATGAATAGCCCTCTCCAGTTCCTTGGGTTAGACTTAATTAGCTCCACCATTCAAGGGGACACATGCCCCCACTTATACATAGAGGCCACCAGCCACAAGGGAACCGGCTAGGGATATGGGAAGTCAACTCGGGAATAATTTCATTATAAGAAAAACAACTTTTGCCAATAGGTCTAACATTCACTGAAGAGCACTGAGGTACAAACTCAAATCCTCTCCTTCACTTCACTGTACCTTTCTGGTCAGAAAGTGGCAAGGGGGCTTGAAGAACCAGAAGGTGGAGCCATGCCCCAAGTGTCTTTAGGATCCATCTAAACGGTGGGAGTGAGATGGGAATAGTTTGAACTAGCTGCTTTGAAGGGATCATTTGTAGGCAGGATGTGTTTGTGGGTGGGAGAAGGTGCTGGATTCTTAAAATGTTTTAAACTCATGAGAATTTAACTTTTGAGAAATGTCTTTGGAAGCACAAGTTAAGTCCCTTTTATATTGATTTTAAGAAGCGTGTACTCAGTGTTGTATTGGGAAATTGGATGCTTTCAAATGGTGTAAGCGAATGAGCAAATGACAAAATCAGTTGTGACAATTCCCGACTTCTGGTCTCCTGCCCCCTTTTTCTGTAGGCCTTCATAAAGTCCTCCAGACAGTTGGCAGTGACAGTTTGGCAGGACAATTGGCCATGTGAGAAAATAATTAGTCCATATGTGCCTGAAATATATGCCTGAAATACATGACTGAAATATTAATACATGCCTCCCTGCTCTAAATTGCATATCTATTTTAACCATGCGAGGTGTGCCCTTGTTACACTGGTCTGCCAAAAGGTGAGGCGTGGTAAAGCATTGATTTCGAAATCAATTTTCTTTGCTTTGGAATGAGGTGGCATTTAATATTTAAAAACAGTTCAACCCTGGCTTATGGCTGTGTTCAGAGGATTGTGATTTGGTTATTTGAAACCTACGAGCAATTTTACCATAGAAGCAATATTGTAAGTTGTTAAATTTGCGGGCGGGCCCATAGGTGTATATTTAAGGACATTGGCATCTGGGTAACAGGTATCTTATATATAATCACATCACATGAAGGTGACAGTGCCCCTGCGAGGAGGGTCCATTTATCCCCAATTTACAGATGAGGAAACTTGACCACGATGACACCAGTGAATTGAAGAGCCCTCGTCTTTGCTTTCCGCCTCCACTTTCTTCTCCAAGGTAGATGAGTCCTGGCTGATGGTTCAAGGAACAGTATCCAGTTAATGAAGGAGGGTGAGACTAATGGGAGGATTGGAAGGCCAGAGAGAGAGCTTACTTCCCCCTTTCTGGCTCAGGATGGACCCTAACTGGAATTCCAAAATTGGTAGTTTGTTTTCAGAAACTCCTCTTTTCTTTCTATGTCCTCCTTTTCCCAATCTCCCTCAAAGGGCTTAAAGGTCATTATTCTGGGGGTTGATCTACGGATCAAAATTACTTCTTCTGAGTCCCGCCTTCCCACCTTGATCTCCAATCTAATTCGTTTAGTACAGACCCTTTCCTTTAGTACAACCTTGTCAACCAGCTGTTAAAAGGAATCTCTTTAAATCAGCCCTCCCTCAGGTGCAATCACAGATGGCTAAGAGGGCTTCATATGTTTTCAAAAAGGAAGTTATTAACTCTAATACATTAAAAAGTATGGCTTCTCTTGAAGTCTTCCAATTGTAAAATTAACATGTGCTCATTTTAGAAAACTAGGAAAGTATACTAAAAAGAAAACTATCATCACCCATAATCCCACATTCAGAGATAATTGCTGTTAACCATTTTGGTGTTTTTCTTTCTTTCTTTCTCTCTCTCTCTCTCTCTCTACACACACACACACACACACACACACACACACACACACACAAATATGTGTGTTTTTGTATGTATAGAGATGGATAAAATTATACCAGTCTCAGAGGTTTTTATGAGAATTGAATGAGCTATTCATGTATAGCACTTAGCACAATGGCTGTTGAATAGTAAATGATCAATAAAGGTTTATTGGTTTTTGTTTTTTTTTAAAGATTTTTATTGGGTAATTGGGGGGATGGGAACAGTGCTGGGGAATTGGGGGAAGGGGAACAGACAAGTTGCTGTCCTTTTGTTCTTCAGTCTAGTTGTGGAGGACGCTGCTTCACTGGCCCAAGTTGGCACCATCATTGTGCTCTTCCCGGGCGAGGCAGATCAGTCGCCGGCTTCTGGACGGCCGCTCACTGCGGCTGCTGGCCGCTCACGCTGGCTGCTGGCTACACACGGTAGCCCATGGCAACCCACTGCCACAGGGGCTGCAGCCTATGCCGTCGCCAGCAACTCACGGCAGCCCAGCTCCAGGTTGAGCTGTTGTTCAGCATCTTAGCTGTAGAGGGCAGTGTCACTGGCCCTCATATGTGGGATCCGAACCGGGGCCCTCTGGCGTCCCAAGCGAGTTCTTAACCATCGCGCCACTCGGCCGGCCCTATTGGTTTTTTTTTAAACGCACACACATGAATATTTATTTCATACTAGAGATTGCGCTGCATATAGTTTTATATCTTGCTGTGTCACTTAATAATATATCATGAGTATTTCCTTGAGCCAATAAAATTCATTGCAAGTATCATTTGATGATTGCAAAATCATCATCACTCCATAATTTAATTACCCCTTTATTGCTGCATATTTAAGTTGTTTCGAAACTTTATCATAAAGCTGGGACTCAATGCATTTTAATGGTAGAATTCTGCTTTATTATAACAAAGGTGAAGTAGAAAAATTCAAGTCATATTGGGGGCAGAGGGCCAGATTTAAAAAAAACATTTTTTATTGGGGAACAGCCATGGTCATTGGTTACACATTGCTTTCATGCTACAATGGCATAGTTGACTCTTTTTAAGGAAGGTGCAGCTCACAGTGGCCCACGTAAGGGATTGAATCGGCAACCTTAGTGTTATCAGTACCACGCTCTAACCAACTGAGCTAACTGGTCACCCCAGAGGGTCAGATTTTTTTAACAGAGCAACCACATACAGGAGAGTTGACTGCACCTAGGAGTCCTCCTCCAGGGTTAACTCTGGCAGACTGTTACTGTTCTCCTAAGCATTTCGCATTCTTCTGCTTCTGGAGTCACATGTATTCTAAAAGTCCTTAGGCTCCCCTTTCTCCATGGCTCTAATAAAAGTCCTTAGTCACCCACCTACTCCTCCACTAGCTGTGATTCTTTGGGAAGCAGCAACAGAGACTTCAATGGACAGGGAGGTCAGTGGTAGGCTGAGTGTTGGTAGGGGGAGAAAAATGTTCCATTTTTGAGCTTCTACTAAGATAAGTGCTATAACATCCATTTTGCAGATATGGGAAGTTGTCCTAGTCACAGCTAGTAAGTCAGGGGTTGAGGATTTGACCCTAAATTGTGTTCAAATCCTGCACTGCTTTGTCTCTAGGTAGAGGGCTACTTCTGTGAAAAAAGACAGAACTATATCTTATTCAGTTCCCAACTCGTCCACGACTGCATTTGTAATGTCAGTGACATCTGACACACAGAAGGAGTTCAGTAAATGCTGCCTGGGTTGAATTTTCAAGTAGACACAGGTGTTATCCTGAGTACTGGTGGGAGACACTCATATGGGATGGAAACTGGAATTGAATTGGCTGTGCTTCTGTAATGTTCTCCCTTTCATTCAATGGTTTGGGACCTCAAATCCCTCTGCAAACTGGGCCAGCTCTACAAATTATGTAATTAAAACCCTCTTTGGCCTGGCACCATGTGATTAGCTTAGAGGAGATGCTTCAGGATATCTGGTTCACACATTTTTAGCTGAAAGATTCTTGTCACCCAAAGCAGACGTATTGTCCTGTTTGCCTGGGTTTGAAAAGGCAAGGCAGGGGCTGTAATAGAGACTCATTCCTCTGAGAATGCCTGTGCCAATAGAAAATTGTCAACATGTCTTTTAACTGAACTAAACCTAGACTAGTTTGGGGTTTGCAATTAACATTGGCTCAACACTGTTTTTGCTTCATTTACTTTCCTCAGGCCCAGGCTGCACTTTCTCTGCAGGTTTCTCCCCTGATTGCTTCTTCTCATTTCCATATAGATTTTTATATTTATTGAGTTCTGAGAGTAAGGTTTCATAACAAGTGAATGGGTGCCATTTAGGTAGGAGAAGGCGAATGCTTTTCCATACAGGGCTTTAATGAATAGAAAGGCTTAAGTAATTAACTGAGTGTGGTTGTTTCTCCTTCTCTATCCTTCCTTCATTGACTGGGCAGCTTTTCTCTCTGTGATTTCACAGGAACATCTTTCCTCCTAGGGAGGTAGAGAGAGGAAGGGCTTTTTATTGAAGTGCGTGAATGAAATGGTTGAGCCAGGAGGCTGAGGAGCTACTCCTGTAGATCTCTATCCAGGAACATCAGTGGGCCTGTCTGCTGAACTTACCCTTTATTCATCCATTAAGCATTTTTGAGATGCTAATTCTCAACTATGTTTTACTCACCGTATCTGTTACAGCTACAGATGCTGGAGGGTTATTTATTTTGTTCCTGTTTTTTCTTAAATCCCTTAAGAACTCTTTCAAGCCTTCATAAATTGCCTGATTACACACGAACTTGATTTCCTTTCACTGTGGACATGAAGTGAAGGACCTCATCCACAGTGACCAGGCAGGCTTGGGGATGGCATAATTGTCAATAAATAGAAAAGCAGTCGCTGTTCAAACAGCCTTTGAAACAATAGTTCTCTTTGGTCACAACGACTGTTCTGGGCCAACCCAACTCTAAATCATCATCAAAACAAGCACTGACTATCAGAAATTCAAAAAGAACAAAGCCCACCAACATTGAATCAGAGCAGACACTTCCTGGCCCTTTGCAGCAGGTGCCACCTGCTTCTTCTGTTTTTATGATTGCTTGAGCATTCAACTGATTTGATATTTATGATGGCAAAATGCCCATTTGACTTTATTATAATGTAAACTCAGTCTTCGTGAGATACGTTTAGAAAGATAGTCACCTGTCGATTCCTTATTTGACGAATTCACCCAATATTTATTGAGTGCTCAATATGAGCTAGGTAGAGAGTGGAAAATAAGAGAGAGTTTTGCTCTCATGGAACTGACACCTTGTATGAAATCAGGCATTAAACAAGTAAAAACACAAGGAAGTGGCCTCTAAGCTCCCTTAATTATAATTACCCTAGGAAGTAGGCGTTAGCCAGGTGAAGAGGAAAGGAAAAACCTTCGAGGTAGAAGGCCCCGCAGATGCAAAGGCCCCAGAAGGGCACAGCCTCACACTGCTTTGGGGCCTGGAAGGATGCCAGGGTGACTGAAGCATGTAAGCTGGGGCTCGTGGCCCTGCCTGGGGCTGGTGAGGCAGCAGGAGAGACCAGACAAGCTCTTGTTGGCCGGGTTAACTAATAATTAACCACATAAGTCTCCTGCCTTCTTGCCTCCATTTTCTTCTTTTCGCTTCTCACATTTTCATAGTTTTGTCTTTTAGCTTTAGCTTTCTTCTCAAAGTGTTATTTAAGAGTTAATATGAACCAGATCATCTCTAAGTGGCCTATCGAGCTCTGACCTCTTTTGTGTTTGATAGAAGCAGGTAATAGAACTAAAATGTATTGAGTATTTACTATGGCAATTTACATGTATTGGCTCACTTAATTATAATTAGCCTAGGAAGCAGGTGCTATTGCCTTCATTATACAGATGAAAAAAATTGAGCCTTAATGAGGTTGAGTGACCTCACTAGAATTACAGCTAATAGTGTGGGGCTAAGCTGAGAGGCTGAGCTGAGAGGATTTGTCTGAACCCACAATCCACGCTCTTTGCATAATACCAAACAGTAATACTGAGACATAGCCAAGTGTAGATGAGTATAAGCAATCAGGCAATAAGCATTTTCTTTCTTTTTTTTTTTTAGCTGAGCCATCCTGCCACCTGTTGGCAGCTCAGTGGCAGCTCAGCTCAGGTCGGGGATTGAACCGGAGACCCTGTTGCTCTAGAGCTCACAATCTTGAGTGAGCTCTCAACCAACTGAGCCACTCCGCCAGCCCTAGCATTTTTTATTCCACAGTTTTTCATCAGCCACATGGAGTATTTGACATGGAATGAAAATACCTTATGTGGTTACTTAAACATATTCAACAAATGCTGATCCTGGAAAAGACCCTAAACTAGACAAGGTTCCCCCAATTTCTGTTTTGCACTCCAAAGAGCTTAATATCCTTATGTTACCTTTACCATTCCCCTTAGGGAGGAGTAACAACGTTGCGTCACTGACTACCCTATAAACATGTAATAAATAAATGATTCATCATTGCTAGTATCAAAAAAAAATACAGCATGTGTGAAATATTCAAAATACAAATTTGACTGTTATGTTTCTTTAGTTGTTTAAGGTTCACTTAATTACTATAAAAGTGTGCATAAGAGTGTGAGCATTAATACAACATTAAAATAATTTTAACTGAAGATAAAGTGTGTTCTATTTGGTGGGTTATAGAATCATCAAGCTCTGACTGAAAGGAATTGCAGCAATCATCTAGGTTAGAACTATTCCACAGAAATAAACAATGAGAAGCACATATGAAATGAAAATTTTTCTAGTAGCTATATTGAAAATGTAAAAAGCAATAGGTGAAATTAATTTTCATAATATATATATAACTCAACATGTATTAACTGTAAAATTATTAATTTACATTTTATTTATATTAAACCTTTGAAAGCTAGTGTGTCTATTTTTTTAAAGTACATCTCAATTTGACTAGCTACATTTCAAGAGCTTAACAGTCACATGTGGCTAGTGACTTCTATATTGGACATTGCAGATCTAGCTCAAATTCCTTTATTAGTTTTTTGAGGAAAGTGAGAAGTTAAGGGAATTACCCAAGGTCATACAACCTATAAATGGCAGCCAGAAGCTTTTAATCCAGCTTCTCTGACCTCAAGACAGTGCTTATTTTGTAATACCACACTACCTTTTATAAAGCAACTATGCTAACAAAATATGTTGTTTTGTTGCCTGTAGTTTTTAAAATATTGGGTTTTCTTAAGAACAGGAAATCAATAATTGACATTTTAAAACCTTAGTTTTACAAAGCAATTGTACTAAAAGTCATTAGAAGTTACGCAGGAAATGAGTGTTAAATATCAATTTTCAGGCTCAAAGCATTTTATTGATTTTGTTTTTAAAATAAGCTTATTTTAAAAATAGAATTAGTTTAAGTTTATAGAGCTAAAGGGCCAATTTTAAATTTGAATAGTTTAATGTACCTGTACTGTACTTATAAGAGCCATTTCTTTATTTTGAGGTTCAAAGCAAATATTTTTTAATAGCAAATGTCTCAGGGTAAGACTTAAATATTATGAAATGATAGCCAGTTAAATAATATTGTTTCATCCTCAGAATTATCACCAACCAGCCATTTTGAATTCATCATCTCTTCGGCAAGTTGCAGAAGGCACCAGTATTTCTGAAATGTGGCAAAATGACTTACGACCCTTGCTGATAGAGCGATATCCGGGATCTCCTGGAAGCTATGCTGCTCGCCAGGTGAGAACACAACACACAAGCCTAAATGTTGTTGAACACTTTGCTTTCACATGAGAGATAATATGTCCAAAATTCTGAGTTCTCTAATATTCAGATCTGTATTCTCATATTATTCACCAAAATAAGCAACCAAGAAAACCAAACAACTGAGAGTGTCTGTTTTATTAAGTGATACATGTTAATCTATATTAATTTATGTGTAAAAATCTTTGCCTGAGGTACAACTTCAGACAGGGTACTAAATACTCAGCTCTTGATCATTTCTATAACAGCCCCCCAGACACCCAACCAAGTTTTCTTGAACCCTAAACACCCAACATCAACAGTTTTAGCCAGTCCTTGCTTGACAGTTCTAGGCCAAGAGTGAGTTCCTGTCCCATCAGGCCCTCATTCTCCTTTGGGAAATGGTATTCTTCCTGTAGTGAGAATCAAGATCAGTGATAAGCTACTGTTCCAGTCCTGTGTTTCTCAAGCTTCTGACTCTGACCTATGGTTAAAAAAGAAAAAAAAAAGAGTATATTTTACATTTTATACACACAAACATAAAGATAGATTTAACTGACACAAAATGCTCATTACCTGCAATTTAGTCTGATATTGTCAATTCTGCTTTGCTAGTTTTTTTACAAAAAATCCTTGGTCATGACCCGCTAAACTGATTTCAAGACCCACTGATGCTACCACTGCAGTTTGAAAGACACTGCTGTAGAGGGTAGATTAAGCCATAAACTGGGTTAAACTTTAAATGTCTCTTTGCCTCCTTAGTGTCAGCCTTTCTAAGCAATCCGAAACCTCACCTCTGAATGACTGTTTTTTTCAAAATAGCCCCATTTCAAGGTGCAGCTTGAGAAGGAATGGGGGAGACAGGCCCCTCCTGTTCTCCACTAAGAGTACTCTACCTGCCTAACTCTTCAGGCACCCCAGCAATGTGACAGAGTGACACCTGCACGCACAGCTTTTGGGCCCTTCCAATCTACCAAGTATATGTCTTCCGATTCCTAAGTCTAGTCCAGACAGCCATTGTCTGTTGCTCCATCAACCTCTTGTCTTTCACCCCAAAAGCTCCTGCTTCTCCTAAAGAATTAAATGGTGGAGACCCAAAGAGCACTTTAGTTCTTTCTAACTTTTAGGCAGAGTGAGGAATAATAATGATGATGGAGGACTTTCATCGAGCACTGCTGTAGGTCTGGCACATTATGGAGTTCTTTGCATGGATAATCTCTTTCAGTCCTCACAACAGCGCTACTATGTGAATGCTATTCTTATCCCTGTGCCACAGATTAAAAAAGACTCAAGGTATAGGTATATGAACTGACTTGTTCAAGGTTATACACGTAGTAGAGATGAGGCCAGATTTTAGACCCAAATCTGCTGGACTTCTGCATCCTATCACTGGAGAGCAGTGGCTGGGAGAACCAGCTCTGTGGTGTGTGCTCATAAGTGTCTCCAGCTTTGGATGTTCTCATGCCTGAGTTGGAAAGTGTGGCACATGCCACTCATTTTAATATTATTCCCCAGGCCTCATCTCCCAAGCGTTTTCTTAAAAGAAGCTCAGGGCACTTACTGGGGCTTTCCATAACCCTCAGTTCCTCATCACAAGAAAATCTACGCCTATAATATTCAATTCAACCTTTTTCATTTCCCCATTCCATTTGCTCAGAAGGCTATATATACCCAGAAGCCTATACACATATTTCAGACCTGAGGTTCTTTGCCTGCGACCCTTAGAAGTCCATGAACATAACAAATATTGCCATTTTGATCTTTGCTTAGCTTTAACAGAGTGTATAGCACAAATAATATACATAGATACTGTTGTTAAGAAATACATTTTCATTTAAAAGTGTTACTGAACCTACCATAACATTTTCTATGTCATATGGGAAATCTATTGATGATATTTGGGAATGTGTTGGGAACAGTTGCAGGGCTGCCTATGCATGGTCTGCTGTGACATGGCAGTAATCCTAACAGGAAGGCTGTGTTAGAAATCTTACTTAAGAGATTCAATTTTGTAATTTTTTCGAGAAGAAAATCACCATGAATTTTTTGAGAGCAGATTCCTAAGCTGTGAAAAATAAAGTGTTTCCACTTTTGAAGGTGAGGTGGATGACACTTGTGTTATTATGAGGGACTAATACCCTTAATTTGACTAAGATTAGCATTTTCACTCAGAACTAATTTTAAACAAGAATGGTGGAAATTTTATTTTTTCTCCTGAGGCCTTTTTGAGTGCTAGATCAGATGGTTTATAATGTATAGCGTTTCAGGGTTGTAACTAGAGAAAAATCTCAAATCTAAAAAAAAAAATGTGGCATTGATAGAAAATTGGTTAGTGGATTAACTTTTGCAGTTATCAATGAAGATATGCATTGCTATGGGTTCCCTTTCAGAGAATAATATGGAAATAGTATCCCATAGTCTGCATTTTCATTATCTCTGATCAATGAACCTAAAGCTGCCTAGTGGATTTTTAGAATATTTGTATTTGAGAAAATAATTTATTTGTAAAATAAATAATTTGAAGACATTCAATATTGGTGTATATCAGTGATTTCTAGCTGAGATAGGAATAAAACATAAACTTAAAAATCAAGATGATAAAGTATCACTAATGAGCAAGCCAGAAACTTTGTCCAAATTAAGAGGCAAGCTGGAAACTTTGAGTTTAAAAATCTACTATAGATACTTGGTGTATCTGAGAAGCTGAAAGGTGTGGGCTTCTTCAGCGAAAGGTGTGTGTGTGTCCCTGAGTGGAGGGCCCTGGGTGAAGAGCCCTCAGCTTGGAGCCTGAGAGACTAATATGAGGTACACCCAAGGAGGAAGAGGCACCTCAAGTCCCCGTGGCAGGATTCATCATGCTGACAATGGTCTGTTTGAAGATTCAGTGCAAACACAGCAGAATCTGCTTCCAAACAAACCTGGTCTACTAATGTCATTGTTTCTCAAAACCTAGAAATGAGACTCTAAGTTGATTAAATTAGACGCAGGACCATTCACTAATGTTAACCTAAAGTCTCCCCTGACTTCACCACCCCCAAGGAAGTAGAATGTCATATTTGTGTTTATCTTTTTCCTTTCTTCCTTTTCTCTCTCTTCCCACTCTCTGGCTCTCTCCTTGTCTCCACCTTTTTCTTTGTATCCTTTTCTTCCTCTACTCAATCTCCATCTATCTTTCTCTTCATCTCTCTCTGTCTACATCTAGCCATCCCTTACTCTCTTTTTCACTCTTCCCCATTAAAAAAAATAGATGTACAGTAATTCAAAACACAGCCTGTATTCTAAATTGCATTTTGGTATCCTGGGTGGGCCCAGGCTTTGGCTACCTGGAGTCAGGGAAGCAGGCCCTGCTTAGGGGCAGTTTAGTGAGAAGAGTGGTAGTATTTGCAGCCTACTCTACAGAATTGTTGTGGGAACTTGCAGATTAAGTCTGAAAGCCAAAAGGCACAACGACCAAGGATATTGGTGATGTAACTAGATTAATGCAGCCAATATGATTGTTTATAAAGAGATTAGTTGCTAAGATAAACAAAAAATATTTATACTGAACAAAAAAGGTTACTTCAGGGAGAATTATTTTGGAGGCATTTGCTGTGTTTTTGTGAATTTTAGTGTCAACACAGATAATAGCAGTTATGGCCACGACCTGTTTAGTGGTTGAGAAATGAGTTTGTGAGTGAGACTTTAGTGGAGCAAAGCTAACAGATATATTTTTTAAATCCCAGTTCATCTTGTAAGCACGCAGGCTGCTATTGGTGCTAAAGATGTTTTATGGAGCAGTTTATCATCTGGATACCAGATGTTCTGGAGTTCATGCCTTTTTGTTTTTTTTAGATGACCCTTTTTATGGAAAAAAAGTTTTCCCCCAAGTCTGGAGATAACTTGTTTTCACATTCTGTGTGAAGTTTGTCTTAGATGCCCGGTGATATCTCGCTATTCAAACTACTAATGTCCTATATCATATAATTTTACATATTCCCATTGAGAATAACTTATAATTGAAAAAGAATGAAAAAAACACAATAACTTATTAGTTACAATCAACCCCTATTTATTGCTGGCCTACTGTGAGCAAAGCCCAATACTCAGAACTGTGGAGAATAGCCAAATAAATGAGATATAAATGATGATTTCAAAGAGGTTATAAACATTTCTTTTTATTGTATGAAAAGAAAAGTTGAAAACCTGTAATAGAAAAAGCAAGGTACTGCATATGTGTGCTATTTAGGAAAAAGCCCACCTCACTACAGAAAGCAAGGGGTGAATAGCTCGAGAATCATGTTTGTTTGGCTTTTACAGGATTGACTGTAGAGTCCCTGTCCTCTTCCTGGAAGCTTCCTGCCACAGTTTTTCAAAGGCTCTTGCCTACGTGTCATGTCACATTAGTTAGGGCAGGAGGCCACACAAGACTTGGCGAGGCTAGGACATTTTGTATTTCCTTGGGGGAAAAAAATCTCCCATTCTTTTCCAGTTATTATATTATTTGTTTATCACCTCAAATTCCATCCCCACTGATGTTCATTGTGGAACAGATTGCCGGTTATGTGGATGGTAGTTTGTCATTTGTCTAACAAAAAACAATCCTTTAAGGCGACTTACGAAGATGTACATACTATTTCAAAATAAAGTAAATGAAACCTAGTAAGAAACATGAGGCAAAGGAAAAGTAAAGACAGAAATGGGCAAATGAAACAGTGATGAACTCACTCAAAAGCTCTCAGACCACAAGCCTGGATTCTTAAAGAAGACACTTTCAGTTCCTGAGGTGATGTTTCTTTTCTATCTGCTGCTTTCTCCTGTCACTTACCGTATTGCTTATAAAACTCAAGATAACCAGAAGAGATGGGAAAATAGATTCTTTTTATTTTTATCACATATTCAGTGGGTCTGGACCCTTCTTGAGTACAGAAGGAGAACTACTTATTATGTGATTCTGGTTCAGAGTTGTGTATTGATTCTTACAGTGGGCAGGACCTCAAATACCCCGTAACCATCCCCTTGTTGTGGGACTCTTTCTGTATTGTCCTTAGAAGTGAGCACCAGTATCTTTTGTTAGTGCTCATTATGAAGTATTCATAGTGTATATTATGAAGTATTCGTTGGACTTGGGTCACATGCTATGCACTGGGAACAAAAAGAGCTACCATGTGTAATTCTTGCCCTCGAAGAGCTCAGAGTGGAAGTTGAGACCTATAGGACCCTGGTATATCTGATTTCTCAAACATGTATTCTTAGCCTCCTGGAAATATTGACCAGTGGACTTTAATCGTACTGAACTGGATCTCTATCTCCTGACATGTAGAAATGTCCATACTATATTGTGAAGTGAGAAGAGCAAGGGGCAGAGTAATGTGTGAAGTAGGATTCTTTCCCTATAAAAACATACACCCCTCTGCTAAATATATGTGTGTGTGTGCTAGTATATGTTTGTATAAATAAGGAGAAGGGTGTGGAAACATATACATCAGACTATTAACATTGCTAATATTAACAATTGGAAGGGAGAAGGTTAGGCGAGAGGGAGAGGACTAGCTTTCCCTTTAAATGTCCTTGCTATTAATTCAATAAACATGCATTGCATTTTTAATTTGAAAGGCATCACATAAAAATCTTAAAATAGTTAACAAATGCAGCCTGTCTTGATCTGAAATTTTGGTTTTTGTTTTCATCAGCACATCATGAAGAGAATTCAGAGACTTCAAGCTGACTGGGTCTTGGAAGTAGACACCTTCTTGAGTCAGACGCCCTATGGGTACCGGTCTTTCTCAAATATCATCAGTACCCTCAATCCTACTGCTAAACGACACTTGGTCCTCGCCTGTCACTACGACTCCAAGTATTTTCCCCACTGGGACAATAGGGTGTTCGTGGGAGCCACTGATTCAGCTGTGCCATGTGCAATGATGTTGGAACTTGCCCGTGCCTTAGACAAGCAACTCCTTTCCTTGAAGGTATCTGATTCCTGAGATAAAACACGTTAGCAGTAACTCAGAGTGAATTCTAGAATCCTTGGGGGAGTGAGAAGGCCATTTAGAAATGTAGACCTTTGGTACATTTTGTACTAATTTGTTGCAGAATGGTATAAGTTTGAGTGAATTTTAATTGGAAGATGACATTCTTTGAAATGTGCACCATGGGCAATAAACCTAAGATACATGACAGTGAATTCATTAATTGGCACCTGATTTCTTAGTTTTGAGTATGCATTAAATTAAATGCAACATTTCTTGGTGAAAAATGAACAAATCAGAAGGTTGGTGCAGGCATATGTATGAGCACTCCATTTATTTCTTTTTGTTTATGTAGCCACGAACATCGTAACTTTCCTTTCTGAGAGATGATGGCTCTTGAGTTGGGGGAAAGGAGCTGATGCAAAGTAGTTCTGAAGTAGAGTGAGTAATTCAGACATATCAAGATGAAAAGCATGAAGCAGAAATGCATTATTGTCATTATCTGTGAATCTCGGCTCAATTTTATGTAGCATAGCGGAGCTTTTGTTATGGTCTCAGCTCAAAATACTTCTGGGACTCTCAGATGTTATTTCAGTCTCTGTGTTCTTAAGGGTATATTGGAAAAAAGTGCTAAACTAGATGAAGACATTTTGTTCAGATATCACTCATAACCAAGTAAACACAACAAAGCAAAAACAAAAAACTTTGTTCGCAGGCAACAAATGCCTTTTTCTCCCCCCTCAGGGCTTTATGAAGGGGCCAGCCTTTGGTACAATGGGGATAAAGTAGTAAAAGGTTTATCTTGTAATGGAAGTAATAGAGATATTTGGTTCTATTATTTTCTGAATATGCTGAACTTGAAGAAAGCAAGAATTGTTTATAGCCCCTCGGTATCCTTTTCACTATTTTTTTGTTTTGTTTTGTTTTCTGAACCTTCTGTAATCTCTTTGTCCCGTACTCTGTACTGCTTTTAACAAGCACTCTTCCCCAGCAAATGGGCGAGGTGAGTTCAGAAGCTGATAGAAACGTTTAATTTTTCATGTTTGCATCCTATAAGCCCATGAAATGAAATGAAGTATGACTAAAAGACACAGGCTGTGTAGTGGGAGTGTTTTCTCTTGAGGAGCTCTACCTGTTCCGTGTAGCTCATGCCTGCCTTGGGGGACCAGAAGTAGAAAGGCTGAACACGGTGTTGGGTGGGAATCCACTAAAAAAAATACACATGCCCTCTCTTACTTATCCTTCCTAATAGAGGTAAACTGATATGGAAAATGAAAAATGATAATAAAGTACAACTCTTCCAGTTGTACTTTAAATCTGTATGAAGGAATGATTTTAAGTTCTTCAGCTGTCATGGATTGGGTACGTGATAGTGGAATGTGACCTGGGAGAGGACTTGAGAGTAGACTGGGTTATTATCCCAACTCTTTGCAGCCCGCCCCCTTCCAGTAATAAGATTATAATTAGCCATTCACAAACTTTGCCTTATAGCTTCGCTGTGCCTTCCTACGGTGCATTCCTAGACTCTGGACTTTGGTTATTTGATTAGTTGTGGCCAGTGAGAGACTAGTTGATGTGACACAAGCAGAGGCTGGAAACGTGCCTGTGCAATTGGGCTTGCTCTCTTGTGCTTTTGCCATCACCAGGAGAAGTGCGTGCCCTGACTGGCCTGCCAGTCCCAGGAGGAAGGTAAGAGGTATGTGGAGCAGAGCCAACCCTGATGACTGCAGAATGAAGCAGAGCTTCTCCAGCCAAAAGCAGCCTAGATCAGCTGTCTCTCAGCTGACCTACAGACCCAGGAGGACACATGATTGTTGTTTTAAGCCACTGAGTTTAGCGTGCTTTTCCACACCTCATTATTGTGGCATTGGCTGATATAGCCTTGGATGGGTAAAGACTGCAGGTAGTTCACTGACTATGTTCACGCTGGTAATTAGGCATTTATCATATTGCCATGAAGAAAGACTGGAAGACCTTCACAAATCACACCACACAGATAGCGAGGAAGGAAGAAGTGAGGCAGTGGGCTGGGGAGGAGAGGGTTGGTAAATCTGCATAAGGAACACTTAGATATATAGATGCTCACCCCACACCTGGCAGATGGGGTGAGTGTCCCACCTGTACCCTTGTGTGAGAGGACAGAACATTTTTCTAGGAAAATTGAACCAGGGAGTTTCTGGATATAGGAACACAGGATATAGAGGAGGGCACTCGTGAGGTACCTCTTGGAAATCAAGGAGATAAAATATGCAAATTGAACAGTGAAGTCCCCAGCCTTTTCCCTACTTCCAGCAGGAGAAAGCCAGCAGCCAGCTTATACCCAGCAGATAGGAAACTGGAGGACCCTTCTCTGGAGAATGTGAACCACCTCATAGAAAAGCACCAGACAGTGACATTTGGGATCCTCCGTGAAAACTGGGCACCAGATTGCCCTGCAGGGGAGCCAACCATCTGTGTCTCCAATCAGTGTTATAGTACCTTATTCTTTAATATGAATGAACACAGAGAATGACCAGACATTTGAGGACAGTCTCCAGCATGAAAGGAAGCAAGCAAAACAAATAATACGAATTGAAAAATGACCTCGGAGGGAATAGAACACAAAGAGCAAAAGATAACTAAAAGGACACGATTTTTAATATCCTTAGATAAGAGGAGAACTTTTATCCATAACAGATTAAGGAAACATCAGATCCAGTTTGGTCCAATGGGAGCGCATTCCCCTGGTATTGTAGTGAAGTGGAGAGTGCAAATGGTTGTGTATTTTTCTCTAGGTTCAGCTGCATGAGTGCAGGCACAAAGGAGGCAGAGTTGGATTTAAGGTTATGTTTTTACCATGTGAACTTGACCAAGGCAGAGAGGGGCACGGGGAGTTGAGCCTGTTTGCAAGGGAGCGATTAGAATGATTGACTCTAGAATTAAAGTTGAATATGGAATGAAGTGGGGACTGTGAAAAGATGAACAATTCAATAGATTAGGGATTCCAGGAAGGCTGAAGGATGGTGGGGGTAGGGTACCAGCAGCAGGACTAATCTGAAAGGTGAGAGTTGTCAGACAGGAATCCATCAGAATCCTAGTCACCCTTCTAAGTTCTCCTGAAATTCCATCTCTTGCACGAAGTCTTCCTTGACACCCCAAGGATTCAACCTCTCAATCTATTTAATTCCCAGAGGAGTTTTGCATTACATTTATGACCCCTGGCACACTTTGCTATGCTCATGCACTTGTTTTACCATTCCTACCCCAACTAAAGCATAAGCTCCTTCAAGGGGAGAGGCTTTAATTATTATTCTTTGTGTCCCTGTTGCATTCCTAGGGCAGAGCCTTGAACCTGGACTCAGTTTAAAAAATTACAGACTTAAGTAAAGTGAGAAGCAAGAAAGATTTGCAGTTGTTCAGGTTGCGTTCCCTGGGACACACATGGATGTGGAGTTTATTGAGCATGTGGATTATTTCTTAGGGAGTGGCCTTGGCTCAATACCTGTGGAAGGGAGAGGAGAGCGATGGAATTAAGTAAGGGAGCAGTCAAGCTGCCACACAGGCTCAGCAACAGCCTGCGCCAACTTCTGGGGAACTCTGCAGATGGCATGGTCCTTCGGAGAGGCCCCAGGACCTGCTTAGGCCAGTCACTGGATGGAGGACGCCCCCATGGCTCAGGCAACCCCTAAGGGGACTAACAGCGGAAGACTTTCTGCTCTCAGCTCTCCTAGCAGCAGGGTCAACACATCCTTCTGAAAGGGAACTGGGGGGATGTGTCACCTTGTCCACCACAGCAGCTTCATAGTTTCAGAGTTCTCTGAAGAGTAAGAAAAAAAATGTACGACTTCTATTTCCAGAGAGAGTTGGGAGAAGGTGAGATCACATGGGTGAAGACCGTGAGAGCTGTGGTGATTTTCAGAAAGGAAGTGGTGCAAAATACATGTTGGCATTTTTTTTCTCTCACTTTGGTATCTTCCTTTTCTTTGTGGCTTATCTGTCCTTTTTCTAGTTAATAGAGAAGTGCGTTGTTTTTAAAATCCTCACAGCATTTTTGCTATTGTTTCATGTTCTTTTTACCAGAACGTTTCAGACTCCAAGCCAGATCTCTCACTCCAGCTGATTTTCTTTGATGGGGAAGAGGCCTTTCTTCACTGGTCCCCTCAGGACTCTCTGTACGGGTCTCGGCACTTAGCTCCTAAGATGGCATCGACCCCACACCCACCCGGAGCGAGAGACACCAACCAACTGCACGGCATGGTGAGTCTGGGTAATTTCTGTGGTGCTGCAGCTGCAGGCTGTGCCTCAAAGGAAGCCAAAGTTAAAGCCAGTTAAAGACCTAAAAATGCCCGGCATCCTTGGAGCAGAGTGTTTATAGTAGAACATTCTTTGGCAGGCATTGGGTTTTTGAGGAATCCCAGAGCTAAGAAGAATGATTCTGGGTTGGCAGTTATGTTTGAGCTTAATTAAAATGTTTAAATAATATAAAATTTACATTGTAAATTTAAAATATTTAATTTAATTTTTGTAAAAATGTAAAAAAAACTTAATTAAAATAGTGTAAAAAAAATTAGACTAAGGAGACCTCAGATTCACTTTGGTCTATAGGGAACAGTACTGTATAGAGGTGAAGAGAGCAAATACCTTCTTTGAGGCCTCTGTAAAGCCTGAGGAGGCTAAGGTCTTGGGAAATGGAGTAAGAATGGGATGTTGTATGAGGGTGGGCGTGAAGAATTTCCTCCATGGCTTCAGAGTGCTATAATGACTCCAAGTATGTATATGACATTTTGATGTGTCAGTTTTGACGTGGTATTATTGACATGGGGGTGAAGACATTTTGATGCTGCCTTAAAACCCTGCCCTTATTACTAAGTAATGGGTGCAACACACAGTCTCATTTTTATCCCCATTCTTAGGCCTACACCCCATCCCTACTCCCTTACCCTATCCTTGAATTCTTTCCCTGCTCTGATTCTCTTCCCATATTTGACCTTCCTTCAGTCTTGAGTCCTCACTAACCCCAGCTTGGAACCTGATGCTTCCCCTCAGACTTCATTCTTACCTGCCTTCACCCACCCCTGCCCCTCACCCTATCTGTGAACTGAAAGCCTGCTCCTACCGCCTCCACTGTCCCTTTCTTTTGCCTATCACTAGACCTCCACCCTCTGAGTCCAATTTGCCACGTTAAATGTCCTCTATTACTCTAACACATCTCACATTGACATTATCTCCACCCCATTGTCCATTGGCAGCTCATAATGGGTCAGGAGAATATGGTTTATGGTTGGCACCTCATTCAATCACTTGTGCTCAACTGGCAAAAAAGCATTCACAGGAGGAGAAAAGACCTAGCTAATCAATAGGAAGAACAAAGTTATTTATCAGTCCCAATATATGAATCCATAGTAATGGTTAAGACCATTTTTTTTCCCCCAGAAATAAATTCTTAGTAGCTTACCTAACCTTGTGAATATACTCTGGTTTCAAACAAGCCTATTTTTTTCCCCAATGAATATATTTAATCATCATCATTCATGAGTTAACAGATACTATATCTTTAGAAACATAGACTCTGCAAATATTTGTCTACTATGTGTTAGGATCTATACTAGATATTTATCCACACATTATCTCACTTACCGTATATATCAGGAGTTCTTAATCTGAAGGCTAGTCCTCAAGCCTGCTGATGTTTTGTGGCCCAAACAAGTTAAGAAACACTGGATCAATTGTAGGCTTATAATCGGAAGGGACCTTTAGAGATCAGCAAGTTTGAGCTTCTGGTTAGTTAGAAAAGGCAATGGAGACCAGAGACATAAGGTCATATAGCTTCTAGTCAAGGAATTTTTTATATGATGTTTGGAGGAATAAATAGTTACTAAGTGTTCTCCTATAGGCAGCTGTGTCATTATAGACAAAGAATAAAATGGCTAATTAGAATGGAATAGAAGATCAGACAGGCTTGGACTCCCATCTGAAAATAAAGTTAAATGTATTCCTTTCAAATCTATGAAATACTTGTCGAAATGTTCTCTCAGTAATATCCTTGTGGGATTAAAGATATGAAGAACATACACTTTACCATTTGCCTACATGGCATAAGCAAGATTTAGTAAATTCTCCAAAATAATTAGTTTACAATGTTATTAAACCTTTTGTTCGTTTATACAGCTCCCTAGATTATTCTCAACTATTAAAATGCTGTTAGTTTTGACTGATTGTTTTGTTTCCCATTGATGAGTATGAAGCATATTTTGGTTACAGTGATTAAACAATATTTTTATTCTCCCTTAGGATTTATTGATCTTATTAGATTTAATCGGAGCTCCAAACCCAACATTCCCCAATTTTTTTCCAAACTCTGCCAGATGGCTCGATAGACTTCAAGCAATTGGTAAGAACCACTGTTATTTAAGAGTCAAACCTGTTTTTTTCCTCCGGCAAACACTACATTTTCAAATTCAAACTTTACATTTAATTGTATGATTTGAATATATATTTTGCTGCCTTTTTTTCTTGCTTTATTGATTAGTTTATTGTTCCTATTTATCTCTTTTAGTAGGCTCACTTTATCTTCCTGCATGAAACTTCATTTTGATATGGAAACATAAAATACTATATTTCATATTTGCATATCCTTAGAAATGGTTTGAAAATATTTTCCTGTTTGAAACATGTGGGATGTACTTCTAGGGAAGACTTGACTCAACAAAACATGTTGGCTAACGATGAATGTTAGGTCCTTATAATGATACCAAAAGACATTCTTTCATTTTTCTTTTCTTTTCATCTCTGTCTTTGTCATCTTATATTTTCTGCCTTATCCAGACATGATTTTCCTTTAAATCTAATACAGTCTCTGCCTGTTTTCCAAAAGAATAAGAGATCAAGATGCAAGAGAAAGCCAAGATCCTTCAAGAGTCGTTTAGGAGAAGGGTTAGTGTCAAATCAATGAAAGTAGACTAGGCCAGACCAGGTGAGGCCTGGCCAGGCAAAGAAACAAAGATATCTACGGCTAAAGAAAGAGGCTTGGGGCTTGGAGAAGGAGAGTAGCTTCTTCCCTTCATGCCTTCACTTTCCACCTCCCCAAAACACAAACATCCCTTCCCTGCTCCTCGCACACAACAACAACAAAAAACCAATTGGAATCAGGGAGACACGAAAATGAGATAGACCTTTATTATAGAATTCAGGCCAGAAGGCCTGTTTTTGAGGCAAGAACTTCAAGCTCTAATTCCTTAAAGAGAGAGAATTACTTACAGCCACAGAACTTCTTGAGCAGGATAGAATGGTATCACTTCTAAGCCAGTTGGAAAAGCACTGCCATCTCAACTCATGCTTTTGCTACGAATTCAGAATCTGCCAATACCCAGATCTAGAATATTACAAGCGAAACTTTTACCTGAACCTCAGTCTTATCTTTGGCAAATTTCAATTCCTAGTTTGGAAGAATTGCTGTTATGGTATTATTAACATAAGCTTCTTGGGCCTCTTTCTTGCAGTATGGTTTCTGTACTTTGATGGTAGCCTCAAGAAATTGGGTTTGGCCTTCTTTCAAGAATTTTGTGCACTTTTCATATTTCCTCTGCCAGAATGAACTTATATCAGCAACTTGCTTTATAATGCAATTTTAACCCATTGTGCTATCCCTTCTCATGTTATTTACACTTCAAACCATATCTAATTATATAAGGAAAAGTTGTATCCTAAGATGAAAGAATTGTAAGTATCAATAAACAGATGGGGATATTGTTTGGTGGTGGTGAGGTCTTTCTCTGCGTTCCTAAAATCATATTCCATATGCATGCTACTACTTGGCCTAGTTTTACCCTTTAAATGTAGTGATTAAAAAAAACCAAAAACAAACCCACAATTATCCTGGGAAGTTTCATTCAGTTGTCTTATACTTGTCTTGTTTCTTATCATCTTGTAACATAGAACGCGTGTAACACATGGGTTCTATGGTCCAAAGAGGATAAGAGTGATGGAAGGCAGGCTCGTGGTTCTCAAACTACAATGTGCATCACCTGGAGAGCTTGTTACAGCCCAGATTCCTGGACTCCACCCCAGAGTTTCTGATTCAGTAGGTCTGAGGTGGGAACAGATAATTTGCATCTCTAATAAGTTCCCAGGTGATGCTGATGACCCTGGTCTGAGACCACAATTGGAGAACCACTAATGCGGGTCAGAATAGCTAACCCTTTTCCATAGAGTGGCCAGTCAGGATACTTCATCCCCATTCAGTTGGAGTATTCCCCTTTTGAGGCACACATCTCCTCTTAAGGTATTCTTCATGTAAGATCTCAGATCTGTAAGTATCCACATCTGTGTTTTTCTCCCTCATTTTCCTTTGGTTTTTCTCACTCTTCATCTCTCCATTGTCCTGCTGAGTTTCTACCTCTAGGGAGGTTCTTACCTATAGAGCTACAGCCATGTGTTACTCGCCTCTCCCCAAAGCTACTCCAAAATTTACACACCCACGTTCAGCCCAGATGTTTATTGTCATGGGTGTGGCTGTGCTCACTGCTGCATAATGTTTTAAGAATGATGTACTGAGATTTCAAACTCATTATGTATTCTGAGTATTGATAAGATAAAAATAGATATTTATCTGCTATCTAATTGTCATTGTCATCTGCAGAACATGAACTCCATGAATTAGGTTTGCTCAAGGATCATTCTTTGGAGAGGCAGTATTTCCAGAATCATGGTTATGGAGGTGTCATTCAGGATGACCATATTCCATTTTTAAGAAAAGGTAACGTGTGTATATGTACATGTGCATGCACATGTTTAACCTAATGTATTTATTGTATTTTATGTGCTTTTGTGACAATCTAGAAGGGTGAGGGACCATTACATTTAATTAATCGACAAGTTAAATCATCCACCAATCATCTTATGGCTTCTATTGTCTCATGAAAGTCATTCCAAATCCTTAAGGACACCTTTATATTTTTTTCCTACACCTAGAATATGTAGGAAAACTCATGTTTCACTGACCCTGCCTTCCCTTTCATAGAGTTAGACTGGAGTCTTAACACTTTGTGTAACTCTGGTATTTTCTGATTAATAAGGAAGCACTATCCTTAATGTCAATAGTGGAAGTTTAAGTGAGCCCAAGGACTCTTGTAGTACCCTCCCAAGTGGTCTCCAGCTTTTGTTCTTGCATCCTATTCTTTACATAGAAAGGAGAGTTATCTTTTAAAAATGTAAATCGAAATATGTTGCTTCCCTGATTTAAAGTTCTGGTGGCTTGCCATCACATAGAGTAAGGCCCAGGGTTTTTCCATGACTTATAAAGGCCTCCATCTTCTGACTCTCCAACATCACCGTCCCTCTCTGTCTCCAATCAGTATTGCTCCGAACCAGCTACAGTGGGATCCTTACTCTTCCTGAAGTGGGCCAAGGACATTCCTACCTCAGGAACTTTGCACTTGCTAATACTGCTGCCTAGAATGCTCCTCCACAGATCTTTGCACAGCTTGCGCTCTCTTTCATGCATGTCTATTTAAATGTTAGCTTCACACACAGGCCTTTCCCTGACTTTAAATACTCCTTTCTTGGCCCTGCTGTTTGCCCCTCATTCTCTAGTCTCCTATCTTGTTTTATTATTCTTTATAAGCCTTATTACTTCCTCATTATTTTTTATATTTGTTCATTTGCTTCTTTCTCTGCTGGAATGTAAGCTTCATATGAGCAGAGCTTTGCCTTTTCACTGATGGAAACCTCAGCCCCTAGAATAGGGACTGGTACATAGTAGATGCTTTATTATTATTTACTGAATTAATTGACATTTGTTTGATGAATGAATGACTTCGGAATACAAGGGTAAGATATAAGGAAGTACATAGAAGCTGGTGAAGTAGCAGCTGTCTTTAGATGGTATAGAACTCCCACTCAGGCTTCTGCTTGAGGAACAACACCTTCTAGTTTACTCACTGGAAATATGCACTTAATTATAAATCAGTTCTTTCTTATTAGGTGTTCCAATTTTGCATCTGATATCCTCTCCTTTCCCTGAAGTCTGGCACACCATGGATGACAATGAAGAAAATTTGGATGAAACCACCATTGACAATCTCAACAAAATCATACAAGTCTTTGTGTTGGAATATCTGCATTTGTAATATTCTGGTATAGTTCACAGAAATTGCAGTATCAAAGTCAAAAGGCAAGGTACAATTTAAAATAATATGACTCCAGACAAATGCTGTGTGGAAACTTCTGTCCTATAGACTCACTCTGTAGGTAGTTTTGAATACATGATCAATAAATCCTAGAATTATGTCATGTCCTAAATTGCTCATTAATTTTCATCTAGAGATAAAAAAGGTAAATGGAAGGAAAACAGAAAATAAATATATTTTAAAAACTCCTTTAGCTAAATAACTATGAAGCTAAGTCAGATTCTTATATTCAGTATCATGATCTTTTAAATAGTACTTAAAAGTAATAGTGGTGTGCAATGTGTAGCCTAAGTTTTTTATGATTTTTTTTGTACTTGGGAATCTATTACATATAAAAAAAACAGTGACATCATTTCAAGACTCAAATTTCTTTCAGAAATCTTTGTAGGGTTTATTTTATAGAAATTAAATCAGAATTAAATGCCCTGCGTGGATTTCTTTTTTACATATAAAAATTTATAATTTAAAGTTTGGTTCAATTTTTATAGTTTTACAAATTTAACATTTTTATTTAAAAAATAATATAGTCATTAACAAAAAAATTAAAAATGGGGAAAAGAAGAAAACTATAATGTTATTATATTAACAGGGTCACCATTTAATCTTTAGTTCTTCCTTACACATTTTCAATGCAGATTTTTAAAACATAGTTATGATCAATCTATGTCTACAACATTTTTGTCCTTTTTTTCTGTGAAATCATACACTTACCAGACGTTTATTTTCTGTTTTGATTTTGGGTTGAGATGAAGACAGAAATTCTAAGACTGTTGAATGTGACCTCCAAATCATATTAATGTAACGTAGCAGTTACAATAATTTTTGTGTAGGTAAATTATATGTTATTCAAGTTTGGTTAATCATAACATTTTTTTTTTCAGGAGATTCATGGAAGCAAAGTTGTTTGTGCTGGAAACACATAGGAATTTATGG